TTACGTTGGGTTGGTGCTATTATAAAAAATAAAACAACTAATGATAATGAAATTAAAGAGAGAGAATGGCCGAGCCATCATAAATTTTTAAAACTATATGGTTTTTAAAAATTTATGATGGCTCTTGATTTTTAGTTATAGTGGCAGACATGAAGTGCCGCAATGAGAACCTTGTAATAAAAAAACTACATTTTTAATGTGACATAAAATTACAGTAATAAAAAAACATACCTGTGGGCGAACACAATAATAATGCACAGAGTACTTAGTAGTCATAAACGACACAATTTGAAGTTCACTAAAGATTTGCTTTATTTTTATGAGCATCAGAGGGTTCTTTTCTTAAAATAGACAAAGAAAACACCATAGATGAACATTTTTAATCACACAGGTCAGCATTCAGGATGCATATGGTTATCCATTATTTTTCATGATGGTGACCGGTAGAGGATCTGGAGACGGCCCAAAATTTTGTAAAATGGAAATAGAAAGGCTGGGGCGATGAATGGCGAACGTTGTCATACAAAATGACGAACTTTCGAAAAATAACTGGAACTTTGCATGTTTAAGTTGAGGAGCAATGAAGTTTGCTCATTCTAAAATCATATATCTGAGAGTACTTCCATAGAAAACAAAATGATCAAACTTGAGGTATTGAATAACTCCTCAGTACGTAAAAAACCGGATCATTCTTGCAGCATGTTGAGATAGTCGCAATGGCGGAAAAAGAACGCCATGATAAAATTAAAACTCCGTCTCTCAAAGAGAGGAGGGGGTGAAAAAAGAAAAATCCCTGTTAAGGGATCGTAGTGCGGTGTTTTATTTTTGTTATATTTTCGAATGCCACTTGCTCCAAAAATGGACGGTATTTATACAATCAGGTTGAAGATTGAAGTTAAAGTACCTAAAACGCAGCAGAATAGTGGCTAAAAGGGGAACCGAAGTGAATTGATGAACCGCTTAAATAAAATCACAATTATGAACTAACTGTGACCCTATCGGACCATCTCCCATGTGCTCACATCAAAGGCTGCCGAAGGTCAACACCATGANATAGTCCTCTGCTTGTCGTCAAAACGCCAAAATGATTGCGAAGTAATTGCGGAGGTTGATGAGCGAAGTGAACTGAAAGAGGTACTCACAAATGGAATATATATATTAAAATAGGAAACTGCATGCACAAAATATCAAATTTAGTTATTTCTAGATATTATTCAAAACCGACCATAAAACATTTAAAAATTGCTCATCAAAAACTTTCTGTGCTTACCTATTTGAACAATTACTATTATTGTTATAGAGTAAATTTAAGATGGATTTCTATCAAAATTAAAGCTTCATTAATGTGATAGATGTGTACCAAATTTTATGCTCCTACCATTAAAGGCGGTATTCATTCATATATTTCATTGTTCTACCGTTCTTAAACATTTTTAAATTACCTTTTCTAAGGTTTTATTTTGACTTTTTGTGCTGTTTTGGTGAACTAATACTTCTTTTTCAGTCCTTCGGTGTAATAAAACCTATGCATGAGTTTTTAATATACTTGTTTGAGAAGCAATCTTAGCTCTAGTGCTTCTTCAACTTTTTGAGGAAATGCTTTTCATTTCATGCAAACATTTTCTGACTTTTTGAATAGCATGGTATCGAAGAGTAACGTTCGATGAACTATTTTCAGTAAATATTTTCAGTTAACATTTCAAAGAGAACACGAAACTGAACTATTTTATTCAAATCTGTCTCGAGACAAAATACGGTCGAATTTCTTACTTTTTTTCAAATCTTCTGATTCAGTCAGTTTTATGGAGTTTTGATATATATAGAGAGTTTTTATATTGTTATAAATAGTTGTTTTCAAAAAACAAGGTGAACGGGGAGGTTTTGGTATAACTTCAAACAAAAATATTGTATAAAGATATTTTTCCAAAACATCTAATATATTATATTCCTTTTCTTTATAAAATTTACCGTTCCGTTGAGTGTTATTTCAAATAGATATATTCAGTTATTTTTAAGTGGATATTTTTATACATAAATAACTACGAAATAAATGTGGAATTTAAATTATTTATTTCCTTTAAAACATTTATAATGCTATTTTTAATCATGAAAAATTAGCTTGGTATTTATTATGAATGTAAATTCGATAATTGACTAGCTACTTGAATACAATGGAATCTATTTAGAATGGATCGTATTTAACGAGAATGATGAAATAATTTTTACTTTTTGTTGAATTTAGAAAGATAAGTAATTGTAGAAGCTTGAAATATAGTATCATTAAGGGGAATAAAATATAAAAAAAATACTAGCAGTTAAAAATTATTAAATGTATATTGTTACATAATTATTTCAATTTGTAACCATCGTTGAACAGCTGACCGAATTTTTCAGTTTGCGACTACCAATTTTCAACTCAGCATCCTTGTAATTTTGAACCCAATCCAGAGTATAAGGGAACTCCTGGATCACGTATTGTTAAAAATTTTGCCTTCGTGGAGAACTCTTTGAGGGAACTAAACCGCATTTGCTATGCATGCAAAAGAAGACCACGAGTACCTTCCATGGTTAACCTGATGGCAAAGGATGGACTCTAACCCATAATCCGTCTACCACTGAGTATATTTCACGCTAGTATTATCGTAGGTGCAAGCCGGATTCGGATTCGCATCGACTAGCTAATGTTGGGATTCGAATCCGATTGTCCTCATTTGTACAAAATTATTATTATTACAGTTATTTTTATAGCCATCGTTGAGAAGCAAACCCAATTTTTTGGATTTACGACTACTAATGTTCAACTCCGTAGCCTTGTTATTTTGAACCCAATCCAGAAGATAAGGGAACTCCTGCATCAAGTATTGAGAAAAATCTGTCTTCGTGAAGGACTTTTGATGGAACTAACCCGCATTAGCGTTACATGGAGAGTAAGAAAACGAGAACCTCCCACGGTTAACCTGACGGCAAAGGGACTCTAACCCATGATCCGTATGACACTGAGGATATTTTACGGCAGCATGGTGGTTGGTGCATGTCGGAGACGGAATCATATCGACCAGTCATTGCAGGGATTCGAACCCGGTTCACCTCATTGGAAGGTGAACGCTCTATCTCCCGAGCCATCGTGGCTCTGGTACATAATTATTGGGAAATGTGCTTTGGTGTCATTCAGTAATATTGAATCGTTTTTCTAAGATTTCGACAACAGGAGTATCAGGGTAAGAGGGTCAGCCAGACAACACACCAGGTCAGCCCAATCTCTTGTGGTACAGAAGAGAAGGAAATAATTCCGAAGGGGTTTGATTATCTGAATATCGGAGCCTGAATATCTTAAGAGTCTGAATATTTCCGAAGAGGCACGCGAATTTTTCACAGAAGCATTTTGTGGTTTCAGAGTTACATGTAAAAAAAAGCTATTCAAGCTATTCTCGGCATCTTACCTTTCCTTCGAAGCAAGTTTTTTTTAAATTAAATTGGCTAAAATTTTAACGTGCACTTTAAAAGAATGCAAACAAAAATAATTTAGTTAATATTTTATACAATTTTGAACTTACCTTTTTAATTTAAAAACATTGAATTTTTTTTTAAAAACTAATATTGGGTTACAATATTAGTTTTTTTGTGACATTTTAGAAAAAAAAAATGTATGGCTATAAAAAATAAGACCATTCAAATCGTTCACATTATTCGCATAAAGTTAAATCAATGTATATAATTATTTTGCTTGGTGTCTCAAAAAAAAAATCGGTAAATATTAAATTAAACAGAACAGTAGAAGAAATGCATGGTTTGCTTACGATTTAATTAGGAAAACAATCAATACTGAATAAGTGCAATTATAACGAAGGAGTTCCTCAGGAACACCACAAGTATGAATAAAGCAATTTGATACACCTTGGTAAGTTGATCTTTTAAGGTTATTTTTAAAATCAACCTCGAATAAACCGCAAAAAAACCTTGACACTTAAAAACAACCTCATATAAACCTCAAAGATAGCTTACGTTTTTGTACGGTTCTGATCAAGATAACTTTAGATGTGACCCGGTAATTATCTTCGAACGGAAGAAAATCCAGTTGAAAGTCCATGAAAATATAAAATAACATTTCAGAAAATACATTAATAGTTAAAGATTTTCCTAAAGCTTAAAAATATTACATATTCATGAGATATTCCATATATTCTCCAGAAATAGTTTTTTTTTTAAATACGTCAAGAGAAGCAGAATTCATATGTTTATGATATTTAAAAAAAAAATTGCTTCCGGGTTTTTGAATTCAGTTAGCTCAACAAATTTCACTTTCTTATTCTATTTCATAATAGAAATTTCACTTTTTCAATTTTTTATTTGCACTTGATTCAAGGATTTCATTTTGCACATCGTCTACTCCAATAATAGTTTTAAAAACAAATTCTACAGACGTAGAATTGAATAAAAGATATTTTCACCTATGTTGTTGTTGTTGCTAATTCCCATCTGGTCTGACGGGGTCAGACCAGATCAATAAATCCGTTGACGCTAAGAAAATCCGAAACCAGAATGGGAGAGGAATGAATGTCGTTCCAGTCCAGTCCTAAACAGTTCAAGATGTGCTCAGGTGATGCCTGGTTTTGTTGGCATTTAGGGCAAAGAGGTAAGATCTTTTGATTAGCAGAAAATGTGAGACTTTTCAGGTATCCACTGGCCAATCGGGATAAGCAAGTGTTGGTTTGCCTGTCACCAGGAAGAGATAGAGAGAGTCCTGGTCTTTTTGCTTTATACCAGTAGTGAGTAGGTGGAAGCAGCCACTTTTATTTGTTCTGGGCCTTTTGCCTTGCGAAAAGTTCAAGGCATGTAAGCTCTGAGGTGGAGGGGACTGGGTGGTCTAGTCCCTTCTTTGCGAGAGTGTCAGCCAACTCCTTGCCGTGTATATCGACGTGGAACGGGATCTATTGAAAGTGGACCTCATGCAGCTGGGAAATGAGCTTTACTTTTTGCAAGATCGAAAAACTGGTTTTATCTCAAATAAGGGCCCAATTTTTGAGGTGTTGAATTGAACTACGGCTGTCAGATAGTATCCAAGTATTTCCAAGGTGCCCTTCACTCAAGATTTTCTCTTGTCCCCTGTCGATTGCAATTAGTTCGCTTCGAAAGACGGAGCAAAAATCGGGGTTTCGTTGATGAAGAGTGTAGTTCTCTCGAGGTGTTTCAATAAATACTCCACTGCCAGTCTGTCTATCCATTTTACTGCCATCAGAGAATATTTCGATGTCGTTTGGAGGGATTTTATTGATGATTTCCAGGGACAATTGTCTGAGGAAGTCAGGCACACAGTCTTTCTTATCAAGCATGGTAGGGAGGCTTTCATGGAAACTAACATTGGAAAGATCCAAGCAAGTATTAAGATTGCTATGAAGATAAAGAGGTTCAATATTTTCAGCGATTAACAGTTGTGATTTAACATGACTAAAAGGACTGTATTTCTTTAGCCTTTGATTGCAGGTCCAATTATTTAGGAAAATAGTAGTTAAATTGCCTTGGTCTAAACTGGAAAGTTTATTGTAATATTTCACTAAATTAGCTTGCCTTCTGAAGTTAAGAGGTTGCAGATCAGCTTCGTAAAGAACGATCTCTGAAGGGCAGCTACGTTTCAGTCCAGTGATGATGCGAGCGGCACTCAGTTGAACCTTTTCCAATTTGTTTAAGTTAGATTGAGAAGCACAGCAGTAGACAGGATAGCCATATTCTAGAATTGGTCTAACAAGAGCCTGGTAGGAAGTCCTAAGAGTAGTTGCATCTGCTCCCCAATCCCTACCAGCGATATACCAATCCCTATCACCTATGTTTTCAATATTAATTAAATCTCCTGGATTATCAGGTATTAGCTGAAAAATATCTGAATTTTCCAAATCTGAATCAGAAAAAGTTACTAACAACTGCTTGTATCGTTAAACATCTTTCAGAAACGGTGCTAAGAGTAAGCAAAATTTGTAAATGAAACCAATGAGAAAATGGCACCTTTTTCTTTAATCCACAAGGTAAAAAAATTATCACGGAATTAAAAATAAATTACAGGAATCAGAAACGGAAAGCTATCAATAGCAAAAATCTGTTCAATATGATTTTATTTTATTTTATAGCCATCGTTGGTCGTAAACCTCATTTTGGGTTTAAGGCTACTAATGTTCAACTCCAAAGCCTTAAGCCTTGTAATTTAAATAAGGATGAACTGATTCATGTTAAAATGAGACATAGACAAAGAAAAACTCACTTATCTTTCATAAATATTAAATTTTGTAAACCATATCTCAATACTCGTATATCACAAATATACACTTATCCCTTTTGAACTCCAAAATCATTTTATAACCATTATTACGATCGATTTTATTTTATAATCATCGTTGGTTGTAAACCTAAGTTTGGGTTTAAGACTACTAATGTTCAACTCCAAAGCCTTGTAATTCAAATAAGGATGATCTGTTAAAGTGATAAGGATGATCTGTTCTGATGCTCATGTTAAAATGAGACAATGGAAAAAAAAACTCACGAATCTTTCATAAAAATTAGATTTTGTAAACCACATCTTAATACTCGTATATCACAAATACACTTATCTCTTTTGAACTTCAATCATAACTTATTAAAATTTCACGTGAATGTTCAATTACAAGAATGGATGAGAAAAGATGAAAAAAAAATTAATCCCATGTACAACGTGATGCATTTTTTTCCAGTGAACACCATTTTCACACCTTCCTCCTAGTTTTAGAAAAGTAAAAAAAGAAGACTGTTTGCTCTCCCTGAAGATGATGAGGGAGACTCAGTGACCGTGGTCACTCTTCTTCTTCGGATAGGATTTTTAATTTTTTTTTTTTATTGTTTTTGCCGAAGTTGCGAGGAAGGTACAGTCATGGGGTTGACAGCAAAAAAATTCAAGATGCCAGTATCACGTTGTACATGGGGTGCATTTTTTTAAAAAATTTTTCTCATCGATTCTTGTAATTGAACAATCCCACAATGATGTGAAATTTAATAAAGTACGATTTAATTTCAAAATTGATAAGTGTTGTCTGTGAGATACGAGTATTAAGATGTGGTTCACAAAATTTAATTTTCGATTGAAGATTGGTGAGTTCTCTTCTGTTTTTTTTCCTATGTCCCATTTTAGCATGAATCAGTTCCTCTTTATTTGAATTACAAGGTCTCAGAGTAGTCTTAAACCCAAAATTGCGTCTACGACCAACGGTGGTTGTAAAATAAAATAAAATCGCATTGAACAGACTTTTGCAAATTATAGTTTTTCCTTTCTGATTCTTGTAATTCATTTTCACCTCCATGATAATTTTTTTTACCTGGTGGATTAAAGAAAAATGTGCTCTTTTCTTATTGGTCTCATTTACAAATTTTGGTCACCATTCCTAAAAGGTGTTTAAAGATTCAGGTTCTTGTTGAAAGCATTTTCTGAAACAGATTTGGAAAACCTAGACATTTTTCAGCTAGTATCTGATTATCAAGGAGTTTTAATTGATACTGAAAACATAGATTAAAATAACTTAGAGCTTTATATTCCATTCTACGTCTGTTGTATGTCTAAATGTTCGAAGTTTACCTGTAAATTGTTTACCTATTATTTAACGATTTTTTTATACTGTTTCAATTTTTTCAAATTATGTTCGCTGGAACATTTGAAACCAAGAGTTTTCCCATCGGTCAACAATAGGGACGCTTATTTCCTCTGCGGAAAGATGAGTGGGGATGGTTTAGTAAAACTTTTCAGCAAGGAAACGTTAAAACTTGCTTGAAATGGAGTTATTTTTTTAGAAAGTCTCTATTTCAATTTTGTTTTTAAACATAAAAAAAATTATCTATTTGTTTATTGTAAATTTAATTACACAAATAGTGGGCGAAAAATTTTATTTATCAAAAAGGGCTGTATTCTTTTATTTATAAAATGTGAGGGGGCTTGAGCCCTCTCTGCCCTCCCGGTTACTTGGTTCCTGGAGAGATTTCGCAATCCACTTTAAGTTGTAGTTAAAGTTCAGGAAAAAAAAAGTCCGTTGCCAACCGGGATGATGTTCGCTGGGAGAGAAAATGTAGAATACATTTTATACTCGTGACGTCCCTTCTGCATTTCTTTTGCATTAATATGGTCATTGGATTCAGAGCCGACCGGCCTATGTAGGGGGTAGGGGGCGTTCGAATCCCGGGCAAGGTATGGATGTTTCTTTCTCTCTCTGTGTGTTCTATGTCATTTCTCCTTTGTGTGTGAATGTGACCCGCCCTATAAACGGGTTGTGGTTGTGTGAATGGCGTGACAGAGGTCAAATTCCTGGCCATAGATGGCGCCACTATAAAACAAGAACAGTCGCACCCCCATTGCCTAAACAGGCATACGACAAAAAAAAAGAAAAAATTGGATTCAGTGCTTTAGTCCCTTGTTCATTAGTGAGTGCGATATTAAATATAGTTTAAGAATAACTCAATGGATAACTTGAAATTTAAAAATAGAAACAATGAAACGTCAATGTTTTGAAAATGTAACATCTGGTTTTAAACTAATATCTTGCTTCTAAATTTTAAGATAAAATTAACTTAATGCCTAACAGAGGGTTATATTATCCTTTTAAAAGCTTGTAAGTATTGTAGTCGCATTTACGGTAGATTGTATTACAAGCAGGAAAAAAATTACAAATTATATGAAATTTCTAAAATTCATCAAAAATAAATAATTATTGAAACAGAACCAAATGAAACTAAAAATTTACTTAAATTCAATTTTAAAAGTATGTTTAATTGCTCAAAAATTGAAACTCAAAGTCCATGGTCTATTTTTTGAACATTGGTCTGTAAACAGTTAATATTAACAGTTAATATAATTAAATGAAAACTTGAAACAAAACCATAAGGTACAAAATATTAAGACTGTGGACATATCTACTCAAATAACATTAAGGTCCAAATATTTATGTTGACATCTTTCTCGAACAATAATTCAAAATCTACCACTTGGATTGCGATCTGAAATACTCAGTTGGTTTAGTATAAAATTTGATATCACAGAAAAAAGAAACGCGATGTCTAGAATTGTTACAAAATACCGAGAACATTTTGAATTCTTTTTGAGAATTTTGTCTAAAGAAATTTACTTTCATTTGTATTTGTCACTCAGATTGTGATTTTTTTAAAAAACATTTTCACATGCATTTTGAAGAGTACATAAAACTTCTGTTATTTATTTTATAAATAATTTTATTATACGATATTGTTAAAGAAAATAACTATAAGGACTAGAAAAGACTGGACTTTTAAAAAAGAATTTTCGACTGAAATATTTCATATTTGAAAAAAATTGCAATATAAGAACTTATCAATGCAAGTTCTTAGAAGTTTTAAATGCATGTTTTGACAACTAAATTCCAGCTTTTTTTTTCTTTTTAATATTCTAAATGTTTCTTAAAACTATTCCATTTTTTTTTATCTCCTATGCTGCTTGTTTGATATGAAATTTCGTGCAAAGATTGATTGAATTGCTTTTCACTGAACTCAATTGTACTATATGAACGAGTTAGATTTTTAAGAACAAAATATTTATTTTAAAACTTATTATTCCAATCACTGACAGTTGTTTGAGATATGTTACCTTTTTCATAAATGACACAAATATCATCAGAAGATTTTTCAGTCATTTAAAATTTCAATTAAAAGCGGAAAGACTGAAGTATCCAAATTGTTCATTTTTATCAATTTGGCAATCCATTCTAAAGTCCTGAAAATAAACAAAAATTAAATTGAAGAATAAAATAACAAACTATAGAGTTTGGCAGAGCGAAACATCCTCTTTTAATCAAGCTAAATTATTATGCCAAGAATATTTAATGACTATTCAGTATGTTAAAGTGAAAAAAGAGGAAGTTTAGTTTTAATGCTATGTTGAAGGAATTTTTATCTTCAATGTCTCATAAATTTAATCTTAAACTTAAAAATACTTTATTTAATGAATGCTTATACATAAATAGACATCTGTATCGCAGCATTTGCATATTCGATGCAATTATTTGTTCAAAAACGCAAAATAAATAATTTTGTTTACTTTTTCATTGCAAAATAGAATAAGAAAAGAAAGTCCACAATCTGCCAAAATTTTAATTATATTCTTATATTAGACAAATGGGGATGTTACATGTAATGTAAATGTAGTGGGATGAAAACCAAAAACTTTTATTTTCATCGGAAAATATAAACCTTTAAGTGTTAAATGGTATCAAGAATTTAATAGTAATTTTTACAATAGAAATTATGGACTAAGAAATTATGTTACACCCATTTTTAAATTGTTTCATAATAATACGAATTCGGTTTTTTAATATTTAACAAGGAAGGACAGGACACGATTTTCTTCTAGGAACATGAAAGAATTCACTAATATTTTAACAGGAGTAAGTTATTTTAATGGGATATTATTTTAAGTAGAAACCATATCTTATAAAAAGTGCATTAAACCACTTAATTTTAAGTATAATGAAGAGAAAATATAATGTGAGTTTCAATGAAATAACATGAAAACCATATTTTTGTTAAGTTTATTTCATTTTGATTTTGTACGTATGCATTCATTAATAATGAATCATATATGCATGTAAGCACAAAATAGATACATTCATTACCCTTAAGACTTGTATCTAAGAAAACTGCATCACACATTTTTAAGAAACATTGAATATGAACATTAAATATATACTTTATTATATACATTAAAGGTATCTTTATGATTTATTTACATTTTATACGTGCTTATATGATAAGGTGAACATGATTAGTCGAATGGCTAAGAATAGTTACCGATGAACTAGTAATAATATAAATTTACTCAAAAATAATTTAA